AAAGCATGGTGGTCGGATAAGATACAGGGGACTATTCCAATTCTCTTGTTTCGGTTCAGGTTTGCTATGTCACCAAGTATGTGGTCAATTTTAGAGAAGGTTCCATGGGGAGCAGACAAGAAGGTATATTCTTTTGTCTTTGGATGGAATGTTCTATAGATATCTGTTAACTCCAGTTGAGACATAACTTCTGTTAGTTCTTTTGTTTCTTTGTTGAGTTTCTGATTGGTGGTCCTGTCTAGTGTTGAGAGTCATGTGTTGAAGTCTACCAGTATAAGTGTGTGAAGTTTTATATGAGCTTTGAGGTTTAGTAGTGTTTCTTTTATGAATGTGGGTGCTTTGTATTAGGGGCAGAGATGTTCAGAACTGAGACTTTGTGTTGATGGATTTCTCCTACGATGAATATGAAATGACTGTCTTCATCTCTTTTGATTAATTTTGATTTGAAGTCTAACTTGTTAGATATTAGGATAGACACGCCTGCTTGCTTCTTGGTTCAATTTGATTGGAAGATCCTTCCCCAACCCTTTACCCTGAGGTAATTTCTTCTTTTTTTTTCAGTGTTAATTGACAATTACATCCACTGGATCTATTTATTTTTTTATTTATTTTACATAACCAAGTCCATTTAAATGAAAACAAACATTTATAGATAATATTTGGGAATCTGGGCATTGTTCTTTCCAAACTACTTCCTGCTGGTAAGGGGCACCATCATGGGGGATTCTAAGAAGATGCAGAAATCCTGGCTTTAGTCTGTAAGGCTGCTTTGTCCAACTGTTTTTAATGTAGGATCACCTGGTATTCTGTTTCAGGCGGTCTGGCTTGATCAAACCACATTAGTCTGGAAGGAATCCACAGCTTTTCATTTTCTGTGGAAACAAAAATAGAAATCCTTTGCCACTGTAACTTGTCCTTGAACTTAAATTTTGGAGTCAAAGCATTTTTTTATTTAATTTATTATTTTACATATCGATCCCAGTTCCCTCTACCCTGAGGTAAGTTCTAACTTTGAAGCTTAGATGTGTTTCTTGTATGCAGCAGAAGGATGGATTCTGTCTTCGTATCCATTCTGTTAGTCTGTATCTTTTTATAGATGAGTTAAGACCATTAATGTTGAGGGTAAGGACCATTGGTTGTTGATGCTTGTTTGTTTTAGATTTGTTGTTGGCAGTGGTATTGTGAATATATTTGTTCTGCTTTACCCTTGGATTCTGGTGTAGTTAGATTATCTGTTGCCTACTTTTTTGTGGGTGTAGTTACCTTCCCTGGGTTGGAGTTTTCCTTCCAATACTTTCTGTAGGGCTGGATTTGTAGATACGTATTTGGAAAATCTGGTTTTCTCATTAAATATCTTGTTCTCTCCATCTATGGTGATTGAGAGTTTTGCTGGATATTTTAGCCTGGGCTAGCATCCGTGTTCTCTTAATACTTGTAGAACATCTATCCAGGACCTTCTGGTCTTGAGGGTTTCCATGTTGATGTCAGGTGTAATTTTGATAGGTCTGGCTTTATATGTTACCTGTCCTTTTTCCTTCACTACTCTTAATATTCTTTCTTTATTCTGTAGGCTAGTTATTTTGATGATTATATGTCGAGGGGTTTTTGTCTTTGGTCCAGCCTTTTTAGTGATCGGTATGCTTCTTGTACTTTCATGGTCATGTCCTTCTTCCGATTGGGAAAGTTTTCCTCGATGATTTTGTTGAATATGTTTTCGGCACCTGTGAGCTGGGTTTCCTCACCTTCCTATATGCCTATTATTCTTAGGCTAGGCCTTTTCACAGTGTCCCACATTTCCTGGATGTTTTGTGTTAAGGTTTTGTTGGATTTTTTTATTTTCTTTGGTCAATGAATCTATTTCTTCTAGTGTATCTTCTGTGCCTGAGATTCTCTCTTCCATCTCTTGAATTTTGTTGTTTATGCTTGTGTCTGTTGTTCCTGATCTTTTCCCCAGTTTTTCTATTTCCAGCATTCCTTTGGTTTGTGTTGCCTTTATTTCTCTATTTCAGTTTTCAAGTCTTGAATCGTTTCCTTCACCTGCTCTTTTTTTTTTTTTTTTTCGTGGCTTTCTCTACTTTCTTTATGAAATTTGTTCATTTCTTCCACTTTTTTGTTTGTTTTTTCTTCCATTTCTTTAAGCGATTTTCTCACATCTTCTTTGAGGGCCTCTATCATTTTTATGACGGTAATTTTTAAGTCGTTCCCTTTTGCTTCATCTGTTTTGTTGTTGTTTTCCTTTCTAGTTGGAATAGATTCCCTCGATTCTGGTGGTGTCATTCTTGTCTTTCTGTTGTTAGGTGTTTTCTTGTATTGCCATCTTCCCATAGCTTCTTCCAGTAGATGTTGGTGGGGTCTGTCCCTCTCTCTATGGTACTTCCCCGGTGGGCTTAGGTGGGTCAGAGGTTCAAAATCTGTAGCTCTGGGTGGTCCAAGCTATCTAGGAGGTCTCTCCACAGGCAGGGGCCCAGGAATATGGTCAGCGATCAGGATCCAGTAGAAGATGCTGGCAGGAACTCAGAGTGTTCCTGCAGAGATAGGCAGATCTCTGGGAGGGGCCCGGGACCCCAGCAGAGGACCGGCAGTAGGGGTCGGAGACCAAGCAGGTAGAAATTATGGGTTGTCCTGTATGGATAGGCAGGTCTTCTGTGTTCAGAGTTGCTCCCTGAAGTTGTATGGACTGTTCCCTCCACCCTCTGTTCCAGTGCTCAACTAGAGTGGAGTTACAGTGGGCAGGGTAGGGCACAGGATAGGCAGAGGCCCGGATTTGGGGGTCAAGGATCTTGCCTGCAGGAACTCAGAGTGGACCCGCAGAGATAGGCAGATCTCTGGGAGGGGCCTGGGACTCCAACAGAGGACTGGAGGCGGGGTCAGAGACCAAGCAGTTGGAAATTACAGGTGGTCCCGCATAGATAGGCAGGTCTCCTTTATTCAGTGTTGCTCAGAGAAGTCTCTGAAGTAGGGTGGACTGTTGGCTCTACCCTCTGTCCCAGTGCTCAACCAGAGCAGCAGGTCCGAGAGTAGGGTAGGGCACAGGGTAGGGGGGGAAGGCTCGCAGTGGGGATGGGTGGGGGTGTATCAGAGCTCCAAGGGTGCTCTCAATGGGGACAAGACCCATATTTTTATTTCTTGTCTTCTCCTGAGCCATTAAATACATGATTCTGCTAAAAAAACATTTTAAATTTAAATTATCTATTATTCCCATGCTTAATATAGTCTCAAAAGTTCCTATTGCACTGGAAAGAAAGTTGATACCTCCGTTCCTTACCTCTAGCTATAAGGGAACATGAGTCTATGATTATATCAACATAGATGAATTTGAGAAAAGTACTTGGCATTGAGACTAATAATTTCCTTTTTGAGACAGGATCTTACTATGTAATTCTGGCTTGCCTAAAACTTGTTTTATAGACTAGAATGGCCTTGAGGACAGAGATCTACCTGCCTCTGTTTTCCATGTTCGGGGTTAAAATGCATGTGCTTCGCTTAGAGTGGTGATCTTTGAGAGACTTCTTCACTGATACATCTTGTTCCCTCAGATTGAAACTCATTTCCATCTATTATTTCCAAACCATTTACTTCTAAATTAAGATCTATAGCCTGAACTCATTTTTAGTTCAAATTTTGTATAATCAACTGCTAGGTTGACATATCTGTTTAAATGTTTAACAGAAACCTTATACTAAAAATATTCAAAACATTCTGGACATAGAGCCGAGACAGGATGATAGCTGAGGGTTGGGCTACACAATGACCTAAAAAACAAAACAAAACAAAGCAAAACACTAACAACAACAACCCCCGGGCCCCAAAAAGGAGCAGGAAAAAAACCCAAACCAAACCAAAACAAACAAACAAACAAACAAAACAGCAGAGTGTTGAAACAGAGCTCTTACTCTCCTAACTTATCAATAAAAATAGCTTATACTTCCTCACCAGTACACACTTCTGTCTTCAATAGATCAATAGATTTACTCAGGAATCAATGTTCGTTCTTAATTTGCCTTTTCTTCATAGCCCACCTATAATCCATCATCATACCAGTGGCAATTCTATAAAATAGATTTGAAATATTCCAGATCTATCCTCCTTCACACTTTTTACTCTCTCATTTAAGACTGAACCCAGAAACTTATGTTTCTTAGGCAAGCACTTCTTAGGCAACCACTGAGCTAAATCTCCAACCTCCAAATCTATTTTTTTATAGCTACTTCCATTACCCTGAGCCAATGTGCCATCTTTCCAGTCTAGATTACTATAACACACTTCTGATTGGTTTCCCTGTTTTCTAAGACCCACTGCTTATTTTTTCTTTTTTTATATTTTTTTTATTTAAAAAGTAAAAGCTTGTTTTACATGTCAATCCCAGTTTCTTCACCTTCCGTTACTCCCCTGTTCCCCTCACCAATGCCCAGCCCATCCCCTTTCTGCTCTCCAGGGAGGGTGAGGCCTTCCATGGGGATCATCAAAGTCTACCATATCATTTGGAGCAGGGCCTAGGCCATCCCCCATGTGTCTAGGCTAAGAGAGTATCCTTCTATGTGGAATGGGCTTCCAAACTACATTTGTACACTAGGGATAAACACTGATCCACTACCATAGGCCCCATAGACTGCCCAGTTCTCCTAACTAACACCCACATTCAGGGGGTTAGGGTCAGTCTTATGCTGGTTTCCTAGCTATCAGAATGTGGTCCATGAGTTCCTCCTTGTTCAGGTCAGCTGTGGGTTTCTCCAGTCTGGTGTTGTCCCCTTTGCTCATCACTATTTCTGCAAACTGGATTCCAGGAGTTTGGCACAGTGTTTGGCGTGGGTGTCTGCTTCTGCTTACATAAGCTATTGGATGAAGACTCTAGGATGGCATATAAGGTAGTCATCAATCTCATTATTGGGGAAGGGCATTTAAGGTAGCCTCTCCACTATTGCTCAGATTGTTAGTTGGTGTCATCCTTGCAGATCTCTCGACATTTTTCTAGTGCCAGATTTCTCTTTATAGTGATAATGGCTCTCTCTATTGGCAGTACATATACTAAAATTGGAAAGATACAGAGAAGATTAACATAGCCCTTGCACAAGGCCCACTGCTTATAACATAACCAAAGGGGTTTTCCAAAAAATCATTCATTTTCTAATTTTTAATAATTTATTTATTCTTTTAAATTTCATTTTGCATTATAACCACAGTTCTCTCTCCCACTCCTTCTTCCACACCCCTTCACCTGCCCCAATCTCACCCCCCAGTCTACTCCTTTTACTCACAGGTAAGGGCTCATATGAGGACTCAACAAAGTCTGACACAGTAAGCTGGGGCAGGGCTAAGCCTCTCTTCTATTAATTAAGGCTGAACATGGCTTCCCACCATAGAGAACGGGCTCTAACAAGCTATCTCATGGACCAGGTTTCTATTATGGTACTACTGCCAGGAGCCCCTCAGCTAGTCAAAGATTCACAACTGTCTACCACATATGGAGGACCTACTTTGGTTCCCTGGAGATTCCACAGATTTTGGTCTAGAGGTCAGGTATCTCTTTAGATTTCTCCATCATGATTTTGACCTACCTTGATCATATATTCCCTTCTCCTTCTCTTTCACTGGATTCTGGAGCTCATCTTGGTGTTTTGTTGTGGATCTCTGTATCTGGTTCCATTAAATACTGGATGAGGTCTCTATAACGATAGTTGGAGTATTCACCAATCTGATTGCAGGGGAACGTCAGTTATGGTGCCATCTCTACTATTGCTAGAAGTCTTAGCTGGGGTCATCCTTGTGGATTCTTGGGAATTATCCTAGCACCAGGTTTCTCTCTAACCCCGTAGTGTCTCTCTCTATGAAGATATATCTTTATTACTCTTGCACTGCATTCCTTTCCCACTCAACCATCCCATTCCTCCATGCCCTCATCCCTCCTCTGAAAGATAGCTTGGTGGTTAAAATAGTTGTTGCTTTTTCATCACACATAATTTTAGTGTCAGCACCCATATCCAGTGGTTTACAATTGCCTGTGATTCAAGCTCCAGGACATATAATAATCTCTTCTTGTTTAGGCAGGCACATGCATACATGTGACACATATACATACTAAATCCTGCACATACACACACAAAATAATAAAATAAATACTTAAAAACAGTTTATAGAAAATGGATGCAGCTGGACATCAATTGAAATAATTCAGACTGAGCAAAACAAGTGTCACATATTTTCTTTCACATGCAGTATCTAGATTGGTAAGCATTCAGGAAAAGTAAAGGAACTACTGAGAGGTGGGGAAGTAGAAGATAATGAGGGTAAATAACATCATAGTACACAGTAGGCTTGAATGAAGATGTCTTTTATCCCTTTTCCATTCCATTCCCATGTACAATGAACACTGAAAACACCCTGTTCTTTGTACAATTGTTTTTTGTGATTTGATAGAATGTGAACTTCATGTGAACAAGGATCTTGCATTGTTTACTGTTCTATCAACATTCTAAACAATAGAAACTGACATAGAATAAATATTCAATAACTATCAGAAGAATTAATTCTTTACTGGAAATTAAACTGGCTTTGCTAAGAGAAAACACTGTAAGTCAGATAATTTTTGTTCATTTAAAATTATCCATTGTTATCATACTGTATGGAAAACAAAACTCAAACTACCTATCACTTGATTTCATTTAAGAGATTTTGCATTTCTTACTGTTGCTACTGCTAGGAGTCCCACAAAAGACCAAGCTAAACAATGGTCACCCAGATGCAGAGGGACAGTCCCATGCAGCTCCCTAGCTACCTGCCCAGAGTCTGTGAGCTCTCACAGTTTTTGTGTGTATCTGTGTGCTTTTATATGGTTATATTTGGTTAAAGTTTGGCATTTAGGGTTTTTGTTTTGATTTGATTTTTCTTTGGGGTAGTATTATATTTTGTTTTATAAGTTTTGGACTTTTTGTTGTGTTGGGATTTTGGTTTGTTTTTTTGAGAATGAACATAAAGTTGGCTGAGTATGGAGGAAGAAAGAATAAGGATGAACTTCAGGAGGGGATGAATATGATCACTATATATATATATATATATATATATATATATATATAATTTAAGATAAAATAATTACATTGATTATAGTTCATAAGTCTATTGTCAAAACTTTAGTAATCCTTTACTAAGTCTTTTAGAATTTCCTATAATACATTTTTGTCCTATTCACCACTTTATACCAATCCTCAGATCTTCTCCCACCTCCCTAGCCACCTAATTTCATGATTTCTTTCTTTTGCTCCTTTTTAACCAAAAAATTCTGCTTTGTGTTTGCCAGATAATTCCAGGTATGGAGTCTGTCCTGGACTGTGGTTAATATACTAGGTGATACATTACTGAAGAAAACTGATGTTCATTTTTTGTCTCAACAGCAATCAAATTGCTACTCTTTTAGGGAGGGACTTCAGGCTCACTTCTTCATTCTGCAACTTTATCTTGTTTGAGCTTAAGCTTACATCTGGCTTGGGCATATTACCACACAAAAATGTGGATACATATGTGCAGATGCCCTGTTTTTCCAGAAAGCACTGTTTCTTTGAAAGTATCTACCATACATGCTCTTGGAGTCTCTCCCCCCCCCCACACTTTTTTTTTTCATAAAGATTCCTGAACTTGAGGGACAAAATAAGATATAAATGCCTCAATTCGGTCTAAACACTAAAAGTCTATCATTCCTTGTATGTTGACCAGTTGTGGATCTTTCTGATGCAGGATGAGTGATGTACTTACCTTTAAGTATAGCAGTAAGCCATCAAGAGTCACTTCAATGCTAAGTCTTTAAGTGAAATAATAGTAGTAAGTTCCGACTAGGGCATGTGAACTATCTAGCAACAGGTTCTTGGCCTTCCTGACAGTTTCAAATATGATTTCCATTTTGTAGATCAGGCCTTCAATCCAATAAAAATGTAGTAGTTATTCCTATACCATTTGTGCCAGCATTGTACAAAGGCTGGGTAGGCCATTTATTGTAGCTCACATGTTTTACAGCTGGGTAAGACTGATGATTAATTTTCTCCTCTGATAGCAAGCATTGCCCCTTCCAGTATTGAAAAAGATAGCTGGTAAGGATGAAATTTCTTGTTGAGTATCGGAAAGATTTCCCCATGTTCTGTAGTTCAAGCATAAGTTATCTTCAGCAAAAGGATTATACCATCAAGTTCTGGAGGAGAACCAATAGCATTGATAATAACTTGTAATGTTAGGAGGCTCTATGTAACACTACTAATAATTTTAAAAACAATGACCCATTCCTGGTACTGGTGATGTGTTTTAATATCATATGTTGTTCTCCCATTAGTGTTCTCCCATTAAATGGTAATTTTTTTTGTGTGTGTGTGTGTGTGTGAAGTTGCTTCTACAGTAGTAGATTTCCATTATGGCTTTTTCAAAAGCCCATTAGTATTTAACTCTTTAACTCATTCTATTTTTAAAATTTCATCTGCAAAAGTCTTTCCAAATTAGACAACATTTTTAAAAATTTACTTGGGGCTTCAAAAGAGAAAATTGATATGAAGGCCATACAAGTTAATTATATGCTTAAGTTTTATTGCCATTCAACAAACTGTTATATGTAATTTAACACATGTACATATTGGTGCAATGACCACTTGTTCATAATTTCCTCAAACTCCACTGTATTGGCATTTCATAATTATACCCTCACCCAACTCTCAGTCATTGATAATGATATATTTCTCTGATTTTACCATTTCATGAATATTATATACATAGAACCATATAATATATGAAAAATTGGGGGAATTATAACTAACAAAAAGTCCAAGTCATTGGAAAGGATAGTGTCTTAGTTAGGGTTGCTATTGCTGTGAAGAGATACCATGATCAACTCTTATAAAGGAAAAATATTTAATTGGGGTTTAGTCCATTATCATCATAATTGTGGTTTAATAAGGGTCAGGATAAACAAATAGGCTGAATAGATGTTTATTCATGGAAAAACAACTTACAACCTAGACAGATGAACACCAGCAAGTTCAACTGGATGCTCTCCTCTCCTCATCCCGCCAGCAAGAGCATACTCCCAGGCTCCCTGAGCCCTAGTTCCACAGGTCACTTCTGCCTCTGGCTCCACCCCCAATGGACGTGGTCAATGCCACAGAAGCAGACAAAGTGAATATCTCAATACACACCATTGTGGGACATGGTGGCTTATAGGCAGACATGGTGTTGGAGAAGTAGCTGAGTATCCTTCATCTTGACTTGCAGGCACAGTTTAAGCTTAAATGTGACCTGAAAGCTCATATCCACAGAAACAAACTTCCTCCAACAAGTCATACCCACTCCAAAAAAGCCATATCTCCTAATAATGCCACTCCTTTTGGGGGATATTTTCTTTCAAACTACCATAGAGAACATAATAGTTCTCTGGCCTTTTAGCCACATGTCCACTGTGATCCACATGTAGTGTTTTGAGATTGGCTTTTTAAATATAATTTGGTGTTTCCTATATTCATCAGTTATTCTTCCCTTTTTACTGTTAAATGGATTCTATTGTATGGATGGGACATAGGTTGTTGAGCCATTTACTTACTGAAATACATCAGAGTTATTTCAATTTCTGGTTATTAATATGGCTGCTAAAACATTTTTGTACATACATTTGTGTGAACATAAGTTTCATTACTCTATAATAAACATACATCAGCATTTTTATTTAGGTTGAAAATTTTATCATTTTGTTTGCACCATCAAGTTTTCTCTACTGTTTCCCTGTTACAACTTTCTATTCATGAATGGAGTGTTTCCTCATAGTCCTTCCCCCAAACAAACCACTAAATGACAACTAAGGAATCAAATATATGAACCTATGTGGTCATTCTCCTTCAAACTGCCACACTAAGGTGAAACCTCAGTTAGCAGTCTCTGGTGATCAAGGCTATATTTCCAGCTTTGATATGTGAAGGATGATCCTCCAAAATTTTTTGTCATGGCTTCTTGCATTTAGAAAGTCTGGCTGAATGAATTCTTTATGAAATTTTAATTTTAAATAACCAATGTTCAGACATCACAAGTGATAAATTTTGAATCTCCCATTATTGGCTATCTGGTGCTGCTGATATAATAAGACAAT